GCATTTAAACACCTGCACTGGGGGCTCAGCAATGGAACGTTCTATGTTGAAATATGTGATAAATGAAACAGAAATGAGATGAAAAATACAGCGGATGCCGCGTGTTTTCGATGACATCCGACAATTCACAGAGGCAATGCGTCCGCGTTCGGTGAGCCAACCGAATACCTTTCCTTTCTAGTTGTTTCAGCCCCCATATCGTTCGGACTTGTTTTTGGTCATAGCTATTTGATTTGGGGTCGACCCGTAGTCAAGGTAATCGTCTGCGTTTCCGGATCGGCCTGTATTGTGTGTTTCACTGTATTTGTGGCTTATTTGGAGATCCTACGTGGTTGGTCGCTCTCATCTTCCAAGCCGAATGTATCTAGCCTAATGTCCTACTGCAAAGCTGCTATTTCTAGAGACCTTGTGTTCTTCCGTGTGCCTGATTTATCTTTCATTTTCAAGCATGAGCTCGTATATAGTTTTAACGTTCGCACCCATAACAGCTCCAATTGACCACCTGTTCGGCCTCTAAAAGTTCCGCACGTAAACCATGTCAACAACCTTACAATTACGGACACTGTTTGATTTTGCTCCGTTTGTTTTTCGTGGCGTCTTTCTTTTCTTCTTGGCACAAAATTATCGAACACCATCCGGATCTTTCCTCCAAGCTTTGATCGGGAACTTTTGGGTTCAGCACAATCCGATACATTTAGATAAAAATTTAAATTGCGTATTGTGAAATCCATTTTTCCATTATTTTACAAACAGCACGTTTTAAAGCATTCATGAAGCACCAGGTTGTCCATTTGGTTGTGGATATGATAGAACATCTGCCGAATTTCTTTTTCCTTGCAAAACCCACGGAGGGGAGTTGAGCTGAATTGAGTTCCATTGTCACTATCATCACTGGTGATCCGAAATACTGTAGCGATTGTCCAACTCACTGATGGTGCACTGGACCCTCGGATTAGGCGGCTTGGTAGGGGAGTAAACCAAAGCGAAGTGGGATTGACTGTTGATTGGTCCTGTATTGTCCAAATGGATTCGTCGCCATGGCCAAGGGTTGCCACCGGCAATTGGGAGGAGGTCTTAGCCGCAATTTGACAAGATTAACATTGTACGCGCGTTTCATCCTTTCGGGAATCGTCAGCAGTGCGCATCCCATGGGGTCCTGTTTGGGCTCGAACCCGCAATTCGACTGTTGCCAGTCCGTGGTTGAGACCACTGAGCTACGGGGGACGGCAACGACCATCGTGAATAAGTTACTAGATGTGATATAGCGCCGCTCACTATCCACTGACTTACACGTTACTGCCGTGCAGAGGACAGGGTAGCTCCCTCACCAAGCGACGAGCTTACCAAACTTAAGCCGCCAATCATGAGCGGCGCTATATCACATCTAGTAACTTATTCACGATGGTCGTTGCCGTCCCCCGTAACTCAGTGGTCTCAACCACGGACTGGCAACAGTCGAGTTGCGGGTTCGAGCCCAACCAGGGCCCGATGGAATGCGCACTGCTGACGATTCCCGAAAGGATGAAACGCGCGTACAGTGCTTTTCCGGGCGTGCGACGGCTGTCTGAGTGAGCCTAGATGTGATGAATTTCTTCCTATAACATTCAACTCTCCCTACTGCTCTTCTGTAAGATTAACATTATTGGCAAAATTTTCCCGATTTCTAAATCCATTGCTCGCCAGTGTACTAAAAACTGCGTGGTGGTACTTGCCTCTGCAAGTTCTTTTGTACCACAACTCGGCCTCCGAACAGCAAAATAATTACCTACAACCGAGGGGGATCCACATGGATGAAAGTAATGTCGCAACCCAGCACCAATTAGCCAGCATATTTCCACGTAGTCACATTTCATAAGGTTCCGCCTCGCACAAATCATCATGTTACTAGAACCCTGCTTACACCGTCGGTTAGTGCAGTGATTTCGAGCGGGCAACACCCAATTTCTATTTGCATCAGCTACGGTCCACGTGAGCGAAAGACCAAGGTTCACTTCAATGGGTATGGCGGTCAACATTGAGAATGCGTGTCGCAATCCATCCACATAACGTGTACTACAAAATGACCCACAAGATCGTTCATTATACCGTTGTACCAAGCGTTGCCGGTCGTGGCCCGGTGGCTTAGGGGTAGCGATCACAAATAACATCCCAATGGTCCTGGGTTCGATGCCTGCTAACTCTATCTGATGAGATGTAATAACATCGAAACGCGTCATAGTAGTGCAGTGTTTTCGGGCGGGCAACACCCAACTTCTATTTGCATCAGCTACAGTCCTCGTGATCGAAAGACCAAGATCGCGCGTCGCAATCCATCCACGCAACATGTACTTCAAAATGACCCTCAACATCGGTTAGGATTTACTAGATTTCTGACCCGAATTTGACAGCTGCGGGGTAATGAGAAGAGACAGGGCGTCATCTTGGCCGGCTCGTTATGTAGGTCATTAATGTATTTTGAAATTATACACCAGCAATATAGTCATTTGTCTTTCTAACCAATTTATGGTAAAGAGAGAAATTCGTTTCTTTGACACCTTTAACCAGAGTAGTGGTTTATGATCGGTCAGCGACTTGAAATGTCTGCATAGAACATTTTGTAAAAACGTTTCATGACCAAAAAATAACTAGGTATAGCTCTTCTTAACTGACGTCAGCGATCGTGTTACGTGTTTTGGAGACGCAGCACACATCGATAACACATCGATAGTGAAGAGTGGGAGCTAGTGCTTCCTGTTGGCCGATCTGACTCAGAGTGCGGACCTTAAACGAACCAATGTGAAATGAGACCCTTGCTTTGAGGCACAGGTTACATGTATTGATGATAGCAGCTGCGAGGTCAACGGTAGCCTCTTGCCTGATATAAATGGAAGAAGAGAGCTGTGAGATGGGAGAAAAACAAGGAAAAGAAAGGGGAGTATTGTGGACTGGGCCGAGAGTGCAAGTGCTATTCTCTGCTTGCTCATTCCGAGATATGGATTTCGTTCGCGATGTCCTGCCTTTGACTGAACAGGCTGACCCACAAGGCAGTGTGATACATGGATGTTTGCTTGAAGGACTCCACCCGGAGCCTTTGGCTCAATACCGTGATTCACAAGGCAGTGGAGAGCAAGTCCAGCTCTGGAGTGTGACTACAGAAACTCATCGGGTTCTGCTTGAGGTCTGTTACACACAGCATTTGAAGAGATAGAGCAATTCTCAACTTCTGCGATCGCAGGAGGTTACGCATCTGCGACCACGGTCAGCCACAGTTGGAGGGTATGCACCAGTTTGACCAGGGGCTGCCTGGCTTGAGGGGCCGTTAACAAACCATTGAGCCCTCGCGTCGTCAGAGACAATGCGTTACTCTCGTGCACTACGCCTATCGAACTGTGTGTTTATAATCCGTCATGTTGTCTCACACGCTTAGGTTTTAATGGACGAGGGCCATCGGCCTCTCTCCACCATAAAAGGAGAATTGTAAGATTGAGTGAGTCTTACCCATATTCATTGACTTGTCTGATGGAAGTGGCTCTGAAGGTACTTGGATAGTGTCATCCAGCACAGCTCAATGGGTCGCGGAGGTAAGCAAGCCATCGCAGGCCCGTTTAAATGGGAAATATGGAATGGAAACAAGATACCTGGGGCTTCATGGAAGCAGTCAGCACACTCGACTCAAGCGCAACAGTAGAATTTCGCTTTGAGTGTCAGTTGATCACAAGAACGCTGGGTCCTAACTAGTGGAGAATCTCCATACATTCAAAAGACAACTTGAGGATAACGTTGAAGACATCGATATTACTAAGTAAAGCAAGCAACCGTTGCTATATCGATAAAATCTGTTGTGCAGGTAGATAGGGATTCACTAAAATGGTTCTGCTGCGGTTGTAATATCAAATATTATCAGTCGTTTGCCTTAAACCTAACAGCGCTTAAAAGAGGACCTGTGGCACAGCGACTCAGTTCCGGGGCTACAAGCGAATGAGGTGACTACGTTCTGGACACGGTGATAGTATATTAGGTTATTGTGCATCATCACAGGAGCCAATGTGGCGGTGACAAAGCAAACTCGGCGGAATGACCCAGAATTGAATCCATTCACATACACGAGGCGTTGTTGTAAAGCGATTTATGCAATCTTCGTTCTGTTAAAAGTATATGCGAAAAGAAAAAAAAGAAAAAAACAAGCGACGAACCAGCAGACACGAGGAGAATTGTCAAACGGCCAGTATCACAAACGTGCACTGTTGGTAGCGATTTGTAATTTGAGTAACGGAAGCCACAATCAAATAGTGGTAATGGGTCTGTTCGTGAGGTTGTTAGATACTTTGGCCTAACTGGATGCAGAGACATGGGAAGCGAAAAAGAGCTTTGGTGAATGAGACGCAATGAAATCGCACATCCTTCCGAGGACTGGTAGTATGAGGGAAATGATGAACGTGTTCGGAACGGGTAGGGGGAAATAGAAAAATAGGTGTAGCAAAATCGGAATTAGAATGGCGTTTAAAACTTGGCGAGGAGCGTTGGTGATCACTTACTAGCTGATCACACACGAGAAAAGGACAATGGAGTAGGATGAGAGCAGACTGACAGGCACCGAAGAAACGTGAAAGTCTCATGAAGGTAGTGACCAAGAGAGAGAGAGAGAGTGGTTCGGGTATTGCACCAACCACAAATGTGTGAAGTGTGCAAAAGTATGCTGCAAAATGTGAGGCTAGAGTCGGTAAACCTGGGAAAGAGCGCAAAACAAGACGGGAAATTGGAACGGTTACTGAATATTATCGGGAGATCACAAGGTAGCAAGGAAGCGCTAATCGCAATCTCTCAGTCATTATACAAGTGCGTGAATCTCGCTGTATCATATACAGCCAACGGGAACAGACATAAGTAGTCAGGACAGGTAATGTGGAAGTTAGACAGGGATATGAAGCTCTTGGGGGGGGGGGGGAAGCTGAAGGCGCCGTATTCACTGGGGAGTAAAGGCCGGAGGATCAATAAACACAAAAAGATTTTAAGGAGGGATTTCAGGGAGATCTGTCAAGCGAATCTGAGTCTACTGTATCATCGGGCACATAGTTTGCAGATTCGGAAATTCGATGTTTAGTCGGAGGAGGTTGCAATTCGAATTTCGTTTCTTCAGTGTCGCGTCGCCAAGACCTAGTGAGGCGTTCGAATCCAACTTGATCCAATGAATTCTCGTAGTGTGAACCACTAGACTGACCTCCATCGTCCTCGTCGTAACTAACACCGTTACTTTCATCCGAACTGCCCGCCTGATCGTCATCCTGGTGGAACAAAGAGAAGGCAAAGGATGACAACGGCACTGTTCCTCAAACGACTGCTAAATACAACCAACTTCTCCCATTCGAACTGCTGTGCGCAGAGAAAAACTATGGTCCTAATCCCCATTAAATGACGACAATGGAGAAAATAAAATAAAACAGAAGGATGACACTTAAATGTAGTGTGGTAACCAAGACTAACTGTCAATAGCATCGAGTCCATCTCAGTGAGTCTGTCATCGCTGTGATAGATACGAAATACCAGGGGAATTAGTCGGAAGATCCATTCATTGCACCGGAAAGTTAGGAGAAAAAAGTGGGAACTAAATGGACAGTTAAGGAGTACGCAATGGAATTTTTGTCCTTAGGTTAGAAACATACAGTCAGTGTCCACAAGCAGCCAATGGCTTTTGAATAGCAATAACGACCCCTTTTTCATCTGTATACGCACTACCTGAGCTATGAAGAAGCTTGGAATCGAAATCATTCTGTTTTCAGTAGGAAACGCTGCGTACCGTCTTACGAAGAAAGAGGGGGTATTAAGCAGCTGAATCTTGAAGCACGTGTCTTGTGCAGCCAGCCAACCGGATAGTTTCGGCCATATGGATCTTGCTCACAAGGACCAGAAGGTCCCTTATGGGAAATTTTATGTTACTAGACTGGGAGTCAAAAGCTGAAAATGGATACCAGCTCATTGGTGGGTTTAAAGTCCTTCAGTTGAGCAGAGGCCAAAGCACACAAAGTATTCCATAAGATGCTCGACTATTGTGTGTGGTAGGACTTTGCAGGTAAGATATTCTACTTGAATGTTTTACTGCGGACGCATAAAACTCGGGCCACTGGGCGTAATGACTAAATTCTCCCAGCTAAGATGGGTAGTTCATTAGCTACACGAGTTGCGAAACTCGGTGATTTACCACAAAAGGAAGTCATTGCTGTGAAGAAGTTCAAAACATCCAAACCGCCAACAACAACAACAACAACGGTAGTCTAAAATGGTTGCCGGAGACACTGCGAGTGCGTGGGGCACTGACCGGGAGAAAATTGGACAAACAACAACAGCAGGGATGGAATAAATGCCCACATATGCCATGCAGTTTTACGCATTTACCGATGCATCAAATGGACGAACTAGTAGAAGTAAGCTGTAACATGTTGCGAGTCCACTATAAATCACGGCCACGAGGTCATTCTATGGCGCTGATATCGGACCAGTTCTATAGAATCTTCAGTAAGCTCCACGTGGGTAATTCCGTATGACAATGAAGTGGTGTATATGTTGTCAGTAGTTCTACAGCGTCAGCAATTGAAAGGATTCAAAATGAGAGTGATAAGGGGAATTTCATGTGTTACATTTCAAGTGAAAACGCCCTGTTTCAAATGCAAAAGGATGCGACACGGTGCAGCACTGTCACATTACATTTGTGATATGGCAACGTTACCGCTGAAGGTAAAACACGCGCACTTGCCAGTGGTTCATTGTAAGAAGCCAGAGATACTGTCGGAACAAAGTGCAAACGAATACACGTTATATCAGAGACCGGAAGTTAACCGTGACATTCGGAGGATGGCTGCAATAGATGACGACAGGGTCTCAAATAGTATACATTCACTTACAGGAATGGGAAGAACTTCATAAACACGTCGCATCATAAGTACAAAATCATCGTGTGATTGTGGGCTCCGGGTGCCGGGTGAGTGCCAGTATGACAGCGAAGTAGGGTTTTGCAAGGAGTCACCGATTGTTTCGATCCACTGGAAAAGGCCACCAAATTGGCAATCGGGTGATGATAAAAAGAAAATGAGGTGATGAATATCACTCAAAAAGCTAGGCAGTAAACAATAACTGTATATTTGCGAAATGGATGTGACGTCATTTCGAGAGGAAAACAGACAAAGTTGAGTAAACGAGCCCAATGAATTGAACACCAACTAATCTGGTGAGTAATCCAGTACTAAGTGAATACGGTAGTCGCTCGCACGGAGTCGTGTAGGCCCGGTGGTTGATGCCAGTTGGACACACGAATGTATGGTGACCAGATTTGGTCCCTTCTTCGGTGCAGGGAAACTAACTACGGGCATCGTAAGCAGTAATGGACACATCAGGCGTGACTCTCACTAAGGGGACAAGACAAATTGGAAATAACTTGAAGTTCCGATAGGACGAAGGGGCGGTCTAGTGCTTATCTGGTCATGTAGAGGACTATTTGATTTCGAGGCTGCAGCCAAAAACCCCTTAATTATTCTCATGTAAAGCCGTCTACTCGTGAGTGAATTTGAAACCGTTCCTTCAGAAGCCAGTCATTGGAGCAAACATGCACGGCAAAGCCGATGAGTAAGGTTCTAAGGTTAAACGCTTTTTCAGTTGCAGAAGTATTTAGGAAATCTTAGTATGCAGGAAAGTGCACATGAAACGAAACAGAAAGCGAAATCCATGAACAGGCCTGCTGAAATTAGGTGCTACTGTCTGGTGTGCATCAATGGACAGAGAATTTATGATCCAGTTAGATTATGCAACGGATTCCATGGACGAAGTGAGCGATGAGATCACTGGGCCTCCGCAGTCCGTGAGATCGGCTATCCGCCTTTGCAACTTAGCTTATGTTTTTCGGGACATCGTATGAGCAATAAGCGTGTTCCCTGTCGCGTATTTGGTGCAGGAAGAGCGAGTGAACCACTCAGCATTGTCATACGGCGCACCAGTCTCCAATGAGTGGACCACGTGTAGTGCATGCCAATACACCGACTCCCGCGTCATGCGTAGTTTGTGCGTCCGGGGTGTGGATGGAAGAAGAGGGGAGGATACACTGGTTGACATGGTGAAAAGTCGGCCCCAATGTCGTTTGTGTGGCATTGTACCTTTCCCTTGCCTTTAGATCTGCCCTCCAACCACGCCCTTGCACGTGACGCTTAACATGGCGCTAAGTAGCATATTACGTTTTTGGTTATATATTGTATTTTGTAACGTTTTGTATATCGTGACGTTACTCTTCATATATTTTAGCTTTTTCTGTATTGTGCCACATTAGCTGTAGTGTGTTTAGTACGTTCAGCTAACATGTGCTGATGATGAGACGTTGGGACTGGTACGGAAAAATAGATAAGAGGTGCAAAAGTGACTCACTCGATGCAGCCACTCAATAAAAGAATCCTCCGACTGGAACAGACGCTGAACTTGTAGGTCATTTAAAATTAATCCCATTACCATCTTAATCACCTTTGTGTAGTGACTGAAAGACTGATGGCATGTGGTGACTGGAGTTGGGACCATCAGGCCGGTTCCATCTGCGCCTAAAACAAGAAACGTGTGAATTGGACACAGTGTAGGTAAAAGAGAAATGTGAGACGTGGGATGAAAATGCAAGCGAAATCGCTGTTACTCGATTTGCGCAAGAAAGGCCGAATGCATTGGAACGGCACAAAGCACAAAACATATCTCTTCATAGCTAGAACATGGTTCAAACAATGTTGGATGGGAGGGTAGTTGTCGAGGCCAAGTAACAGACCCCTATCTAAGAGGGAATGCACAAAGGAAGAACATTGCGTTTTCACTGTACTCACCAACGTGGGGCACACACTAGCCTACACACATACCCTACTTCAGGTGTGTTGCAAGCCACTCAGTAAGTGTATGCCTAAACGAGGCTAACAGTAGTCGGGGACACTCGTTCGGCATTTTTGGAAACAAAGCAGAGAATATTGTGATGCGAAGCAAGGAGTGTGAGTTAAATTCCGGTGATTGCTATTAGAAACAGACGTCCTCACCTGTCAAAGCGTATCGCAACCGGTCAATTTTGAAAGTGTCCTCAACAGTGAGTAAGGATTGCAGTACTGACAGTACAAGCCCGGAGTCAGATCGACATGTCTTGAATGCCCAGACTAAGGAATCAATTGCAATGGATGAAAATTCCAGGTTCTTGAAGGATAAAAACTGGAGAAAGAACAGACGGCAATGAGGGCAGTCGCGAAATAGTGTGACAGAAGAAAATCGCAAATGAGAAGCTGGTTCAGTTAGGCCCATTGACCAGTAGGATGGGATGCTGGTTAGTGGCTAGTGACTGTAACAAGCGTAACCTTCCAGACCGTTGTACCGATTTTTCGGTAATTTCCGGTTGTGCTGCTATTCTGCTGTACCTTATTCGCGGTACTTTGTCTAGTATATCTTGTATGCCTTAAAGCAGCAGGTTGCTTCAAAAAAGGCAGTTTATTTCATCAGATAGATTCAGTAATTGTGCCTGCAACTTATTGGTGCATGATGATGATAGCTTGTGCGTTGGAAAATGGGAAAACTACGTAGGATAGTATGCAAGCCTGAAGGAGACTCATGGACTGACATAGTGGTGGATCACTACGGGTAGTGTAAATGAGCAGCTGATTAACCGAGGTAAAAAACGTTAATTGAGTCCCGCGTCGCAAATATGCCCGGTGGATTAATCCTTCACTATATGAAATGAACTACGAACCAGTGTTAAATTCTCGGACGAAATATAAAAACAAATTTGTTCCAACCAAACAAAGCCGAGGATGCTCGTAGTACCGGACTGTCGGGATTCCTGTTGCGTTACAGTACAATGGTGAGGGTAAATCAAAGGATTAGCTGAACAGCAACAGCGAGTCGTCACTTACCATCAAGACATTGGAGATATGTTCCACGGTTGACACACTGAGCCATGAACGGAGAAAACAGGAAATAAAGCGGTTGCATGTCGTGGTCAGGAGCAAATCGGCCAGACTAGAGGTGATAGGACATAACGGCGCCTGTCCGATTTGATATGGATTCACGGACGGGATGTCCAATTGTGCCACACTGGCATCAGCCTCATCGACAAGAGCAAGCGATTTGTGACCTGCCTCTATATTGGATCGGGAGGCTGTGCACGGTGAGATACGAACCAATTTCTCCTGCTCAGTACAGTGCGACGATACGTCCAACGATCGGACCAGCAATGAAAGCAGACACCACAGAGTGACTGTCGCTGAGTATTGAATTGAAGACGCGACAGGCGAGTGAGAAGTAGCCGAGCCGATAGCGTACGCTGATGTGCCAGAAGCCTGATATGATTTGAATGCAAGCAATAAAGAGTCTCTTGATGCAGTTACCACAGGAAACGGGGGGAGTGCAATGGGTAGGGTGCTGTCCAAATGCGCAGGTAGAGAGTTTAGCATGTCGTTCAAGTATCGCTTTAGTACCTCCGGGTTTCGAATTCCAGCAGAGCTAATGCTCGAGTAGGTGAACCAAGAGGACATTGAGACGGAAGTGAGGGAATTCTTTAGGGCGTACCTAAAAATGAGAGTGAAGAAGCGCTGATAGATTACTGGAGGCGCTGCGCATATACATGGACGTAAAGATAGAGCAAAAGTAGACAGTTCACAGATAAGTTGCGGTAACTCGCCTGTGGCACGAAACACTGTTCCACTATCTCCAATACTGGTGGCTTTTGCTGAACAAGTCAAATGGGCGTTCCTTTTAGACGAAAGTATCAAGTAAATTCCAGTACCCAACGGCGAGTCACAACAATGTCCACACACACTAGTGCACATTAGCCAACATTCGATAAACGAGGACATCTTAGAAACACTCAAATCACCCTAATGCTAGTGATGATACTAGGTCGTGATTGAAAGCAGTTTCTTGAGCCACCTTATCAGTCCGAAATTGATTGCAGCTAAACGCTGTCCTGGATGCGCACGAACGAAGAGGATTAACAAACATCGCCTCCGTGGTTGACAAACTACTGACCATCGATGAGTAGCGATCGTTCACATTCCACCCACCGGGGTCTAAGCCACGTTGGATCCCGTTTGCACAAAGCACATTTATTTCAGCACTTTAGGTCATACCCCTATGAATCGACCGACGTAAATGAAGACTAAAACAGGCTCGATCGCTTAACTAGTCATACTGACACTAATGGCGATAGTTAAACCAAAGAAATCATAGAAATAAGAAAAGTGGGTATCTTGAGAGATATCGTGAGCACATGGCGGACCTATCAAAGTAGAATGCAGACCAAACCGGTCACGGTTTACCAGAACATAGCGGGCCTTCTAACAGTGACGCGAGTATCAAACGGATTGGAGAAAACCTTCATAAAGACAAACGGAGGGGGCGAGACCCACTTGATTAATAGCTCAGGTACCCCCAAGATCAACAACCTGGCGCGCGCATCTTCACCAAAGCAGGCATAGTCCATGAAGATGGAGAAAAACTGCCTGTAAACGAGAGGGTGGTGAGTTACATCTGTGTGAGTGCGCGTGTACGAAGAACCACAGGATCCTTCGTTCGGAGAGGTTAGCCAACCGGTGGAGTCGCCAAGCTTATCTGAAGCGGTGATTTTATTGTTGAAATCCCGTCTAAGAAAATTGGCTGGGGAAGCACACAGCTGGAGCGAAATCACTTGAACAATGATATCTGAAAGACTGGGGCAAAGAGCACCATCCTTGGTCGATACTTTAGAGCAACGGATGGATGAAAGGATCGTTTTCGCCGATTCAGCCTGTGCAAAATCAGATCGATCAGTAGATGCAGGGAGATCTGATGACGAAATCCGATCCCGAGCCCTCTCGAAAGCCTTTAAACAAGTCACGGACGACTGACAAGCGGTGGATGAGTCGAAGCTCAAGATGTACAGTATTGCAATTGCGAACAGGAAACGGACCTGGAAATAGGATGTAAAAGGGACCGCTAAGGATAGGTGTAGCCCAACTACGAACGAAGACAAACAACAGCAACGAAAAGCATACCAGTCAACATAACCGCTACCAATCAGCTAGGGAATCCGGAAGATGAGATATGATTACTGAAACGGGCAATTTGACTAACCTCCGGATAGGGGCATTCGAAGAGGAGTTCGCATACACGATCGGGAGAGCTGAAAATAGTCCACTGCACGAATTTCTCTCGCACAAGTGGGCATAAAGACATCAACCGGAGAAACAACGGTGTCCAGATATACCTATGGGAATAGAGGCCAGGCATATGGAAACAAACTAGGACAGTTGTCATAGAGATCTCAAATATACAATGCAAACTTTTTAAAGAATATAACCATATGTTTGGTTTGATAACTCGGACTCTCTACAGTAGTACCGATCCTGTTTCCTCACAGAAGACTTTCCGCGTCATTCATAATAATAATGATGACACAGGCTAGTGTAAGCATATGCACTGCAAGTCTGCCCTAAGATGAGAAGTGGGTAACCAGTTGTCTTGACTACAAGCTAGTCTCTAACTAACATGTAACAGGGAAACCTTAATACATAGGTTGACGGGGAAAAACGCGAAAAATAGGCATCAGAAGTACGCCGGTACGCAATACCGACGCTTCGCTGTCGCGTAACCACCACCGGTTGCACTTGGGCTGAGGATACTGCGAGGGTCGTCCGGTTCCTATGGAGACTCGAACTCGCGCTCTGAGATTACAAAGCGGGCTACGGGTCAGCCAACTGCTTCGAAACATATATCCGTTGACCAAGTGCCATTTTTTCAAAGCGACTAACTATGTTATGAAACTGTCAGAGTGATATGTCATAATCTGGTGTGCAGAAATTCTTAATGAAAAAAACTGAAATTGAAAATGCAGAGTGCAAGTTTCCGTAAAGAAACGCGCCATAGATGCATACGGTTGACTTACCATTCACGTGCCACTTGCTGAAAGCGAACGGCGAATGAAAAGTTCACGAGTAGTTTCAAAGTGGTCAGGCCCAAATCTTCAACGACTTCAGGCCTCATCTGGATCAAAAGAGAATAAGAGGGTTCTCTCAAAAAAGCACACGCACGCATCACACACAAAACAGATTCGTTTGTAATGGAGCAACACGTTTATCAGAAGCCTCGAGGATTCGGGCCAAAAGCACACGAGTCATAACCACAGGACAACTGAGATCGACGAAACACAGATTAAAATGAGTATTCGACAGGTACGTGCAAACCTACCCGAGGTATGACAAACACACGCAAATTGTACACTCCGAATATAGTGTAATAGCACAGTAGCGTAGTGATTGTTATTAGTAGAATATCGGCATACGCCATACTCTATTGGGTATGAGGCGAGTAAACGAGAGCTGTAAAGGCAAAACGCCAAGGCAACGAAATGTGGATGAGAAGCAATGCAGCGCATACATTGGAACCGACCTTGCACATGTCCAGGCTGGCCTCAATCAGATTGCGGATGAAGAGGGCAAGTAAGGGATGAAATTGCAACTGCTGATGCAGGTAATCCATATTTTCCAGATGAACCATTCTTTTCAAACGCTGCGTAACGGTAAATTCTTTGAGAGAACCTGAATAGTGCAGGTGGTTAAAATACGAAGGTGTGTATGGGAATATGTGCAGTTTGCATGAATAGAAAACGATAAGGTCACCTACTTACCACAGCCCATGTTGGGATGAAAATCTTCCCGCTCGTAAAACAACACGTATGCGTTCCAAATACGTTTACTATCCCAAACGTAAAGGTACTTGGACGAGTCGCATGTGCTGGGGTTGACATCCCCGCCGAACCACGCCAGCCTGGCCTCATCCTCATCGTCCACAGATGAAAGTGTAACCTAAAAAATGAAGCGTTGCAAAACATCTCCAAATTGTGAATATGGATCATAGGGCGAATATTGGCTAGAAACCAGTAGACACATGGACGGGTTCATGTAGTTTCTCAGCTTACCTACCAATTCGAATGGTGAGATGTTTGCAGGCGGCTACCGTAAATAGCCGATATAGACCAATGCAATGGTACAGAACGAGCTAATACAGATGCCATGTAACCATAGGAATAGTGCGGTCGAACTATTTCTGTTTTGCTATTTTTATTTGAATTACACCCCTTAATTTTAGCGTGCATCCACACATTGTGGCTCGTCCAATGCAACTTGACGAGTCCATGTATTGCAATTATCACCCAATAGCGCCAAATCGCAATTCTAGAGCTTTCCTGCCACGTCTCCCGCAACTATATAGAATTTGAGCTTCACGAGAGTAAGTTTAGCATTAGATGACAGACGGTGGCTGTATACACCAACCATGACCACCGTCGCTCCACTTGAAAGTGAATCTGTCAATCAGACCACTCGGAATGTATGTAAAACAACCATATGTCAGATGTGGGTGGCCTTAAACAATACACCTCGCAAGCGGCTTCGTCGTCACTAACAACCACTACGTCCTAGAATATTTTCACTTACAAAAGTCAAGCAAGGATGAAACCGGCCGTGAATTACGGCTTTGGGAGAGGCAAAAGTTGACGCTCAACATCCTTCGAACCCTTCTCATGCCGACGATCTGACTGAAGACAACCCAAAACGCTGCACCAAATTAACACATTCAAGCTACACAGATACGCCAATTCACACCTACATACATTCGTATACACATACGCACATATATCCAGTACATTACATGTAATTTCGCAACATTTTAGTACAATTACCGATAAATCCTGTTTGTATGACTATGAACATACCTATACAGTCGAGAATTAAAAAAAAACATGTTTATTCATTTATTTATTATGATAAATCCTCCGATTCCGAGGGCAAAGTGTACGGGCGGAAGAAAAAAACCTCGCAAACAGTGGCATGTATGAAACCGGTTCAAAACGACTGGCTGGTGGTGTGCACTCACTTCACTATCATCGTACTTATACCACTTGTACTGTCTGCTCTTGGGACAAAATTGTCGTATGAAGGAGTAGTAGTGACCCCCAGAGGCTTGGCCACTGTGCACGACCACACCTCGGAGAGTGTAGCGAGTGTAGTGGGTGGCCGATTGCTCCTCCGATTTGGCAGATTGGCTCGATTCACAATGGGAATCGTCCAACCCGTCGCCGTCCGGCTGATCCTGAGTCGAATCAGGTAGATGGTTGACGAGACCATGAACCGTATAAGGACGCATATCCAGCTCACGCGGAAACTCGAAATAATCATTAAATTTGATCGCGATGCCCCTTGGGAAAAACAAAATGAAACCACATTTACTATCTGAATGCGATGCGTGTGTAGATGCGCTCCACACTAACACATGTAAGCTTTCCACAGATGCAACTGCGTGGCGGACAACAGAAACAATTCAACAATAGCATTTAGGCGATCAAAGAAAGGACTACAAGAGATAATAGATTACAAAAACACAGGTTATGATGAAAAATGTCGAAGTTAGGAAGACAACTTGCAAAAGCTGAGAGCAAAAGATATCACTTCATGCTAGGTAGTCTGTGATCCCACCACTATATCTCCGATCCATGTTGGGCCATACAGGTAACAACTTGAGCTAACCAGATACCAACTTCATCTGTTATGCTAACAGGTTGCTTCTTCCGATGAACCAAGTTGAGCCGGGCGACTGTGAAATGCGCGCACCGTCATGCGGCTGTTTCGTTAGCCAAACGCTGTCAGCCAATAGAATATCGGATGCATAGTAGACATAGCAAGGTGTACGCATGTGTAGGGCACAGGGGTGTAGAGGAATCACTACAACCCGGAAGTTGCTTGTGTGCGACTTGTCACATGGGCGGTGACGGACTACATGATAGGGGGACGCGATGCACAGTACCATTATAACAGAGCCTGTTGTCGAATAGGGCCACTGGTTACTCGTATTCTGACACGGCCGACAGTCCATGTTCATAAGCTAATCCCCAGGCGCTTGTCCGTACGATTTATCGCGTGCTGTGGACACATGGCGTTCACGGGGCAACAGGCATAATACGAGTGGCGCAATGAAGCGTGGGGGTCAAAGGTTACTTTGGATAAACCGCTAAATCGCATGTGCACCGGTGAACATAGACACCTTCACTGGTTCGATGAGCGCAGCGCAGAAAGCTTCCTGGCACCCTGCGATTGCGATGGGCGACGTAGAAATGTGGACAATAAGATCATAATGCGCCTTATATACGTGTTGTCTTAGTGCTTGTTCCACGGCCAGCTCGCAATGCGCTTAAAGCAACGTGTAAAAGTAACATTGAGTACTATTTAGTTGGGGCAATGAAGTGAATGCTTAACGAGTCCCGTAGGTTGGTAGGGTGTAGACCACAGAATCCAAAGATGATGTTGATACGGCAGTTAGGCGTATACTAATGCTGTGGTGATACCATGATGTGCTATGGGTAGAGGAGTAGTGATGCAAGACGAGGCTGAGAATGGGATGTTTACACAGGAAGTGGCCTACGGGTTCGTTGGACGCCGTCACGTGCTCTCGCAGGTTGCGAATCGAGGAATGACCTACTACTGAAGGCAAGTGTAAATGAGTCTCGCTTGTTATGCAGGTGTGTTTAATAGGCAGCCGCGGACAATTGGCGCAGCATCTCAGAGCGTGGGGAGTTCGAGTCTGGCCATGTGGTTATGCATTAAATACCACAAAGGCAATGTTTCCCGTTATAGGGTCAGTGACCACCCACTTTTTAACCGGAATGAAGTACCTAACGGAGGGTGGATGAACAACCTCGATTACTACTCGATTCTGTGTGGACTAGCATCGAACACTAAGAAGGAATTTGAGCCACCTGGCTGTCGACTGTGTTCGCATTCAGCAACCAGTCGGATGTTACAAGAAACGTTTTATGGTCCCTTTACTGCTATACTCGTACTTTTCCGGCACCACAGGTAGTTGCTTGTCACTTGAGAGTCGTGTTATCGACGTTCGAGGGTTTGTGACATACCTTAATCGCCTCACTGCTTTGTGGGTAAGAGCATTAAGAACTAGCGTTGGGTCTGGGTACATAAGCTAACCCCCTTCCCTACTTGGGAAACTGAAAAGCTCTATGTGCACACAACACACTTGGATATGAATTAACGTAATCCTCGGATTGTTTGCAGGACAGATGTACGCCAAACTTATCACGGACCAGGCTGATATATGAATTGTGTTTAATGCGCGCGCAGAAGCAGCACTACTTGTTTAAATTCCAACTAATAACTAATCCTGTGCAATTCGGCTAGAAATCTCCATACGATCGTGCAGTCGCGAGGCAACCAACCACTTTTTGTTTGGTACAACAATGCATCTTCCCACAGGTTGCAGCCCGGACTTAGCTAAAGATGAGTTCTACCGTCAACTCTCCGACCAACTCTATAAAAATCATCGGGGACCTGAGCGCACCGGTTGGTAGGCTCGGAACTTAGGTACAAGATTTGTGCTGATCACGGTCGTGGACACAAAGTGACCACATCGTCATCGATTACCGTTGACGAAGCTGTTTAAGGGACAGTAGATCAAGTTAAAGTACTTAGCTGACTTCTGATCACGCGCTTGTGTGGGCTAAAATCGTCCTGCATTTTGTTGTCACCTAGCAGCATCGTCGGACACAGCTAGAAGTAGGCCAACTTGTTGTCTCAAATAAACTGAGTGCCTTTCGGAATTCGTCACCTATTCTGAACAGCTCTCTACTCACAGATGTTGAGGCGCACATCCGGAATGCCGTGCACAAATCTGCTAATGTGTGCACTAAGCACATCATCAACCGACAGATTTCCGCTCAGTGTTTGACTAATGGAAAATCACCGTACAAGTACTGTAACACTAGGCTGAGCTTTGAACACCGAGCTCAAATAGCTCACCACGGAAGATCACGGAGCCTAGTGTCAGTGACCGTGGATTTTGCAACTCACCGGCTGTGTTCGGTGAGGCTTCCAGAACTACTGATTTCCTTCCGGCATACGCGCGGAAGTATCCGAGGTACGGGTTACCCGACTATTGATTCTACCGTACTGCATTTATCGCCGAGCCTGTCATCGTGACCGATTTACAGGGTTCTGCCCCTCCCCCAACCCAGAAAGGAGTGGAAACAGGTTAGTTGCAGGTGACTTGTCCGCTAGGAGGAGTGCGATATGCGGTCACATTTTAATCCGACTACAGAATCCACACTCGTTGGTGAAATTATTGGTGTGAGACGCTTCACTTGCCCAAAGAGAAATGTGTTGCAGCCAAAGAGCAACCTCTTGTTGTGCTTTCGGTTACTGGTAGAATGACGGAAAGACCGGCCTGACAGTTATCAAATGTACAGACGCAACTGAGGAGTAAAGCGCGTCGCCTAAGCGCATACACCATACTTGCCACATTAAATTCACCTAGCACCATAATCTTATGGTGTGTTTCGATGCCGGTGGCAACCTTACTCGAAGGCTGGACTCCCCGCAGTATCCTCTCAAAAACTAGGTTTGTGTGGTGGGGTCGTTATCAACCGCATTCAATCTGGAAGTTGCGCTACATCGTCCGCTTCCATCTACCTTACAAGTTTGGTTAACACCACTGAAGAAACTGAGCTTACGAGTCTAACCGAAGTGCTGCAGGAGGTAACGAAATACCATCAGTTGGATTCCTGCATTCCTTGCCCCTGGAGGCAATAGTGATATACACACCCCCTCTATCCGTCCTTGGTCACAAGGTGTTTCTCAGCTGCAAGAAGGCTGTTCTGTAGCTGTCAATCCGATTCCGGATTCCGGATGTGGCCTGACCATTGGGGAGAATAGTGGATGCAAAGTACCTGCATTCAGGAACGGACTCGATAGACTGTCCATGTAATGAGAGTGACGCAACGGGCTGGGCGGCTGACGATGAGAAGTACTTCACCTTGATTATGTTAATTCCGGGTATGATCGTAGAGGCTGATGACAAGGTTGACAAGTTCCCGTGCGGCTGCACCTTAACTCAGCTCTCGCTTTGCCCTCTGCGCTCGTTCGAACCAGTTCGATGAGCTCTACTCAGTGCTTCCCAACTCTTGGATCTAACCTGTGTGGATTATACTCTTGCTCCAATTCCCAGTTTTCGGCATATCCTTTGCCGAATTCCACTTGTGTAACTATATCAAACCGGTTTATTGAAAAAAATTTTGGTCTCATTCGGAAGAAGAAGCTGAGGGCTCCCCAACTACGCGGCAACCATCCCTGCAAGTTGCAGTATAACAAAGTTACAGCCCTTTTGCTCCGCTCATCAACTGAACAGCTCTAGGGACGCTTATCAGCGCTCCACCTGCATCGTCGCTTAAGGCAGGCCGATTAACACACGCTGCCGCTTTGTGTGGATGTGTGTGTTCAACTGCGAGTCGATTGATCGCTGAATCCGACAGTCTACGCGTTACGACCTCCATCTGCCTCTACCGCCTGACCTTGGTGTGGTTGAACAACTCTCAATTCGTGTGCGTGTTCTGACCTATTCGTGCGTCACCCTTAGCGCAAAGAACACTAATCTAAGTGAGCGCTTAGATAGGCCTTGTTGTAAACACTAAGAGGACGACTAGCATTTCAATGGTTCCACGTAGCCTATGTTGCGCAGACAACTGCAGTAAAGTCCTTAAGATCAGTATTACCTGTTCTAGCTGCACTAGATCGTACTGTCCGCAATGTGTAGGCAAATCCGTTCAAGAAGTGAGACAGACAAACAAGGTTGCTGACACAACTTGGTTTTGCCCAACATGTCAAGTCATTCCAGTTGTCAACTGCTTATCTTTGCTCATGAAAAAGTGCGATAGGATGACCGAGATAATCGCCCATTTTGTAAATACTAAGCTCGATCCCACGGAGGCAAATATGGCCTCGATAATACCTCACCCAGCCAAAGTAAGCTCCGAATCTAAGCCGAAGAAGAGAGCTAGACGCTCCAACCGCACTGCAGCGTCTGTGACTCTAAATCCACTGGGTCATCTCACTCCCATAAGTTGACAAGCCTCAAACATACCTGCTTCCACTTCTCCAAACATAGACGCTTCACTTGGAGATTCAGCCATGATGCCGACAGCTCAGAGCCGAAGGCAATCCGGTACAGATAACAAGCAGATAACGTACGCATCAATTGCGTCGACAAACACACCGGGAGCGACACGTAGGTCCATCTTCAGTACCGAGCACGCGTGGCGCAAAGCAGCTTTCACCGTCAACTCCAGTGGTGCCTTCTAAACAACCCGAATTGCCAGCAAAAAGTATAAAGCCAACACTCGCTAGACAAAACCACGCTGCGTTAAATCTCGTGTGCACCAATGTTCCCGAATCCAAATCTGGCACAATAATGGGCAAGTTGCAAGACGATCGCAACAAGTGGAGTTCCATCTGCGAGGCGATTGGTATTCGGGTTGAGCCTGCAATGATGCAATACGTAGCGCGAGGTGGCCAGTCCGTGATGTGGCATAGAGGCATGAAGAAATTGACTGAGAGACTTAATCAGGCTGGTGCATACCGCCTTCGTGTATTGGAGCCTCAGGATGGTCCACACCAATGGTCGGAGATCGTATCACACATGGCTCAGTCGCGCAGTCAGTTGCATTCCTGCATTCGGTTTCCTGTGTCTGGTTGTTATTTCGTGTTCCATTCTGATTAGTCTAGCGCAGCTCCTTCTTGCTTCCATCTTCATTAAATTCTATTTGCATATAACCTCATTTTCTTGCCGCAGGCATTTATTGTTATGTAATGATGTGAGGCGCAGCAGCTTGATCCACCGCATTTGGGTGCCAGAATCCTTGCTGTCTAACTGAACTGAAGAAGTCATGTTGGGTCAAGTAGGAACTGGCAGTGTTACGATGCAAAATGTATAGTGAAGATGAAGGTAAGTATTTGTATAACCCATGTTTTTCATATGGTAAGTGAAAAGGGGAATTCGACCATCAGGGAGCTGAACATGGGATGCACAACCTTGGTACGCAGACGCACGAGGTCCATTGAAGAATTCATTGACACAGTACACCAACAACGAAGTGGTGTGAAAAACAGGGGGTAAGCAAACGACAGCCAACTGCGAAGTAAAAGTAAGAAGCCCGTATACAGCTGGTGGCGACTAGGTGGCTGTGAAGTGTCAGTACGAGGTATGGCATCTTTACAATCGGCTGTTTTAAAGAGGCAAGGTAGCATCAACGAGACAACTCCCTTGTGATTTTTATTGCCCCGCGTGATGTGCAACTTAGCACCACACAATCTGGTGCCATACACATTACATTGGCAATCCAACTGGAGGTAATAGTAACAACGCGAAGGGTATCCAGCTGTGAACCACACCCTTTGAGGTCCGGAACCAAGCACAGGGCTCCGTCCAGTGAATTAACTAAGATCCGAACAATAAAGTGCGAAGTTTCCAGGTATTATGAGCAACTTCACCATGTAGAAGTAAGCAAGGAAGATGAAGAAAGCCATGAAAGTATGCGAAAAGAATCGCAGGGGAAATGGGGCGGAAGGTCATTAGCGGTAGACGCAAAAACGCCATGGGACGGACGAATGAGCCAGTTGACCGATTTGGTAGATTCAAGGAGATGCACTAAGCCAAACCAGCCATGCAGTGAAGCTTTTCATATTTTGACGCTATAAACCAACCTGCGGATACTCCCAATAGACGATTGTAACGAAAAGTGAGAACCGACATCAAATTTTACAACCCGAGGGTTAATGAACATCCTCCTCGAACTTAAAGACATCCTTTATCTGACGCAGCAATATCATCCTAGATAAGCGTTGAATAGATGAGCTGTAAGTAACTGCTCTCAAATACATTCAGACCAATGAAAAAATTCCGGAGGGATATAACATACCGGTGTACGGTCTAAAAGGTTTGTACGACCCCGGATGTCACGTTGATTGTACTTAAAGGGGCTCTACTCAGTAAAATGGGTAAGAGATGCGTTCAAGTGTCGGAACATGAGTGAATCGGTCGGAGACCTCTAGCCCACTCCACAGGAGGAGCTGAAAAAGAGTACGATCGCCAGTTCCTCCTAATTGATCGCATGCTCCAAGTTATAAACCACTCTAACCACAGACATCATAACTCAGGGGGGCTGAATCGTGGTTGGTTAGTGTGCATGACAATCTGGAATCATAGTAGAAGTATCCGTCTGCTATCTCACAAAGGGGCAGCTTTTGCTGTGATTACACTATCAGATAGGAATGCATCTAATCAGCCAGTAAAGTGAATTCCGTGCCCCGTCTTCAAGAAGAAGCTTAAAATAACTGGTGCACGAGAAGGTACGATTCGGACGAAAAACAGTTCGAGAGTAAGTCGGGGCACCAAAAGACATTTGGTTGCATAAGAAAACAGCCAATAAAGAGGAAGCTGCCGAGCAGCAGCCTTTTGCACAACAAGTACATCTTATAACAAGGTGCGAAGATGTAGATGCACTGGAGCAAGGATACCAGGTTCTGGTGAACGGGACGCAGTTACTTCAACTGAAATACTAAGTGCTGACATCTGAGAGTATCTGGTAATTTCACGAATTAAGAGGAGTGAAAAAGAGAATATTGTCAGAGCAAGTGCGCTCCAATGTCAAAACCAATTGAATAATCGCCGAAATATGCGATGAGGATGGTTCTCTTTATAGCCAACACTCCCAAATAAGAACCATTGATGTCACTCATCAAAGTTCCGGATGCACCTGTACTAGCCAATAAAAGAGCGTGAGATAATGCAGAGCAATAAGGTGAATGACTTACTTGTCCCAGTCATAGTCAAAGCGCTTGAGTTGTATGACGAGGACCAAAGGCAATCGATCGATACACATTCGTTTCAACGTGGTCACCTTCTTGTCACACGCCTCACACCGATACGCATTATCCCCCTCTAGACGATCCCCTTTGACGTACTGCTCCAACGACTGAAGCAAGTTGTGATTATTACGG